AAAACTCGGTTGAACCGGTCCGACCAACCAACTAATGACAATGCCGAGTCGGTGTCCGGTCCGGTTTTCAAAACATTGCTCTAAAGCCAAGTTTTCCTTGTGGTTGTCATAAAGATTTTTCTGTTAATAAACTTGTATGCAGTTTTCTTCTACGTCGTGAGTGTTGCACAATAAGCTATGGGGAATACGTTAAATCAGGTTTGGCTGAATTAGAGCAGTGGTGTGTAGAGGCTACTGACGAAGTAAGCCACGATTTCATCACGCTTTGCCTCTTAATATTGCTAGCAAATTTTCACACCTTTTAATTTTATTGCAGTATGCTGGCTCAGCTTGGGATGAGTTGAGGCATATCAGGCAGTCAGTTGGTTTCTTGGTATAATTCTTAGTCGATGCTATGCTTTTTTCATTTCATTGTTTGCTTATATCAACTTTGCTTGTTTTGGCTCTCTGTTCAGTTCATTCATCAAAAGCCAAAAAAGACCTTAGACGAAATAACAAGAGAAGTCTGTCCGGTATTACCCTCTTCTACTCGGTGAAATCATCACTCTCTTTCCCTGGTGAGTTGAACATTGAAGTTACTTTTCTGTTTCAGGTGCTAAGTATACGACAGCTATACAGAATCAGCTTAATGTACTGGGATGACAAATATGGCACTCACAGTGTTTCCTCAGATGTATGTTTCACTTGTATATGACTAAGCTTGATTTTGTCTACGTACGGTATTAATTGCGTTATGTTTCCAAAACCATAGGTTGTTGCAAACATGAAGGTTATGATGACAGAGGACTCGAACAATGCTGTAAGCCGCTCTTTCCTTTTGGACGATGACTCGAGGTAAGCCTAAAACGTTAGTAGTCAAGCTCTCTCAGTTCCCTTCCCATTTCTATGCTAACCCGAGGAATCAATATCGAAACGCAGCATTCCATTCACGGTGGAAGATATATCCAAGTCAGTTCAACAAGTAGATGTAAATGACATTGAACCGCCTCAACTGATCCGTCAAAACTTGGGTTTCGGGTTCTTACTCACGCGTAAAGAAGGCAGTACATCATAAACAGTCTGTCACCTTGGAGAACTCGGTACTTTTACTGTCCCTCACATACGAGTTTTCCTGCTGCATTCCTACCAGCCTTTTGTCATTATCAAGGACATAGAATTACTAAGTAATATTGATCCAATTTATTGATTGTAATAAAAATTAGAAAAAACATCACAAGGTAATTGACTGTTTACAATACATCAACTCATTTTGTAAAAGCACAAGTGATTACATAATCATCAATTTCTTTCGGATGTTATTGGTGGATATCTCAAAATCCTTTTCTTCCCCTGAAAACATAGAATTTTGTTCTATGGTTGCAAAACATGTTCCACAAAATCCTTAAGAGGATCCAACTGTGCTTTATCCACCAACTTGTACTCCTGCATGTTGAGAAAAAAACCGCGCATCATCGTTATACAATTTTTTACCATCAACTATTAGAACATTCCTTAAAAAAAGTCAACATGATCCAAAGAAAATCTATGTATACTCACAGATATGAAGAGAACAAAATGTTTGAAGCAAGTGTTAAGATGAGCTTCTTCCTTGAGACTCACAATCTTATGAAAATGAGAATGATAAATGTGTGCATAAACCCGAAACAACCTTTTCAGAATCTTCTTCACGTAATCCTCAAAGTTTGGTGGGAATGGCTCTCCTTAATAAGTGAAGAAAGAAACAAGTGTTATACAAATTATAACCAACTCTAAAGATGTTTAAAACTATAAAGAAGAAATACTCCCAACTATAAATTAGCTTAATTTGCAGCTACCAGTTTTTTGCGGAAAGATGGTTTCATCATCGATCTGATATTCAATCCAATTCATGAGATATTCAATGTATTCAGGAGCTGAAACCGCAATAGGCTTCTTTATAGTAACTCCATCAGCCCATCTATACTCATATCTGCACACACAAAAAAATCGAAAAAATGGCTGAAGTTTTAGTGATACAATTCAGTTTTTGTTTGATGGATAAGAGTCAAGAATTACCTGGATCCAGCATTCATGATAGGGCAAGTGGTGGTTGTACAGAACTCTTCGAGAGTAGCGTACAAAATGGTTATTTGGTTGTAGAAATCTACAGCTAAAACATACCAAACAGACAACCAAGAAAGCATACC